GAGATGGAGTGTCGGGCCCCTAATCAGCCAATTATCACTCAGATTACTGCGATACGGGAGAGCTGGCTCCAGAACACCCAGGTATAATCAAATCTTTTTTTACAGACTGATTCAAACAGTTTGAAATTAAATTTGTAACAGGGCGTGCATTAAAATAAAAAAACAATTTAGGCGCGGGGCCGGGGTTATAAATAATGCTAAGTGCCCGCCGAGGTTGGAACGCCTGCTTCTGCCGCACGACACACACTCCATTTATCGCTAAAGCGGGACTTAATGAAAAAAGTCTGTAGTTAAACATGGCGCTTATTACAAATGGGGCCCTTGTCCTACAGTTTAAAGGAACACTCCATTAAGGACAGCAACAGCAACTCTGAACTCCATTAGGAACAAATAAGAACTGTTGTAGAACATCATATAACAATGTATAACATCATATGACATCATATAACAATGTATAACATCATATGACATCATATAACAATGTATAACATCATATGACACCATATAACAATGTATAACATTATATGACATCATATACCAATGTATAACATCATATGACATCATATACCAATGTATAACATCATATGACATCATATACCAATGTATAACATCATATGACATCATATAACAATGTATAACATCATATGACAATGTATAACAATGTATAACATCATATGACATCATATAACAATGTATAACATTATATGACATCATATACCAATGTATAACATCATATGACATCATATACCAATGTATAACATCATATGACATCATATACCAATGTATAACATCATATGACATCATATACCAATGTATAACATCATATGACATCATATACCAATGTATAACATCATATGACATCATATACCAATGTATAACATCATATGACATCATATACCAATGTATAACATCATATGACATCATATACCAATGTATAACATCATATGACATCATATACCAATGTATAACATCATATGACATCATATACCAATGTATAACATCATATGACATCATATACCAATGTATAACATCATATGACATCATATACCAATGTATAACATCATATGACATCATATACCAATGTATAACATCATATGACATCATATACCAATGTATAACATCATATGACATCATATACCAATGTATAACATCATATGACATCATATACCAATGTATAACATCATATGACATCATATACCAATGTATAACATCATATGACATCATATACCAATGTATAACATCATATGACATCATATACCAATGTATAACATCATATGACATCATATACCAATGTATAACATCATATGACATCATATACCAATGTATAACATCATATGACATCATATACCAATGTATAACATCATATGACATCATATACCAATGTATAACATCATATGACATCATATAACAATGTATAACATTATATGACATCATATAACATCATATTATTATACAGTATTTATATAGTGCTAACAGTTTGCGCAGTGCTTTACAATATAAGGAAGACATTACAATTACAATACAATTCAAGACAAGATGGTAAGGAGGGCCCTGCCCCTGAGGGCTTACTATCTGAAAGAGGAGGGGCAAGTGATACATGAGGAGGTAGCTGTGTGGGGATGAATTGTCTGAGAACGTGATGGTTGAGCGGTTAGGTCGAGGTGGGATAGGCTTCCCTGAAGAGATGAGTCTTTAGGGATTGCCTAAAGGCAGTCAGAGTGGGAGATAGACGGACAGGTTGGGGTAGAGAGTTCCATAGGATGGGAGAGACTCTAGAGAAGTCCTGGAGGCAATTATGGGAGGAGTGGACAAGGGAGATGGAAAACAGGAGGTCTTGGGATGAGCGGAGTGGACGGTTAGGGTGATATTTTGAGACAAGGTCTGAGATATATCCGGGGGCAGAGTTGTGGATGGCTCTATACGTGACTGTTAATATTTTGAATTTTATCCTCTGGGCTAGTGGAAGCAAGTGGAGGGATTGGTAGAGGGGGGGCGGGGGATGGAAGCCAATGGAGAGATTGGCAGAGGGGGGTTGCAGACACTGAGCGGTTGGTTAGACATAACAATGGCCATAACAACAACCATAACCATAACAATGTATAACATCATATGACATCATATAACAATGTATTACAATTAGGGATGCACCGGTACCAATACTAGTATCAGTATTGGTGCTGATGCCGAGTATTTGGGCACATACTAGTACTCGCCCAAATGCCCCTATACCTAGCCCGATACTTGGGCTTCCAGTATCAGGAAGCCGGGCAGCGAGTCATTACACGCTGCCCGGCTTCCTGATTGACCGGGAAGGGGCTCGTGACGAGGGGGACGGCACTCGGCTTCCTGATTGGCCCGAAAGCCAGCTGCATGCTTTCTTATCACCTAGTGACGAGAAGCATGGAGACGGCTTCCCTGCTAACGAGGAAGACAGGTGGTGAGTCATTACATGCCACCTGACTTCCTGAATGGGACTCCCAGTATCGGTATTTGGTATCGGCGAGTACCGAAATATAAATATCGGTACTCATACTCGATACCGAAATACTGGTATCGGTGCATCCCTAATAACAATATATAACAATGTGTAACATCATATAAGAATGTATGAGAATGTATGAGATCATATAACAATGTATTACATCATCGTAGGAAGTAAATACATTTTAGTAGCAAGAGATACAATGTTACAATTTCAGAGGACGTTGGAGGGAATGAGCAGATAAATGTATTCATTGCTACTACGGGGATCCCTGAAGAAACAATGGTTACATTTAGCTGACAATTCCCAATTCACAACTGTCTATAATAACTGAAGAACATTCGACCAGAAGAACATTCGATGTTACTTCATTCCCACAACAGCTGGATCATTCACACAGAACAAATGTGAAAGTTTCGCTCGACAAATATTTTTGTGTTTATAGACCCGTTAGTGTTTCGGAACAAGGCAAAATTCTTTATAAATTCAATTCCTTTGTTGAACTTCTTTCAGGCTTCAGGTTTTGGTTCCATCTTTACGTTACCCTTAACAGTCACATATAATTGTACACGTATGGAATCACATAATCACTCAACGTTCAGCTAACATATCGCCTATGGGGGGCGGGGCAGTGCCAAGATTTACCAGCTGATTAACGTTTTATCATTATTCTGTTTTCCTCTTCTATGCACCTCTGGACAATTGTGGCTAAAATCATGAGCTCAGTTTTTGAAAGGTTGAGTTTTAAGAAATGTTGTGACATCCAGACGGATATGTCAGTTAGTAGATTAGTGACACGCAAGGACACTGAGGGGGAGAGTTGTGGAGTGGAAAGATAAATTTGAGTGTCATCGGGATAGAGATGGTATTGGAAGTAGATGGAGAAGAGAAGGGGTCCACGGACAGAGCCTTGGGGGACCCCTACAGAAAGAGGAAGAGGAGGGGAAGAGTTAGAATTGTAGGTGACACTGAAGGAGCGCATAGATAAGTAGGAGGAGAACCATGAGACCATAACAATGGCCATAACAACAACCATAACCATAACAATGTATAACATCATATGACATCATATAACAATGTATTACAATTAGGGATGCACCGGTACCAATACTAGTATCAGTATTGGTGCTGATGCCGAGTATTTGGGCACATACTAGTACTCGCCCAAATGCCCCTATACCTAGCCCGATACTTGGGCTTCCAGTATCAGGAAGCCGGGCAGCGAGTCATTACACGCTGCCCGGCTTCCTGATTGACCGGGAAGGGGCTCGTGACGAGGGAGCATGGAGCCGGCTTCCCGGCCAATCAGAAAGCTGACAGCCGCGTCATTACACGGCACTCGGCTTCCTGATTGGCCCGAAAGCCAGCTGCATGCTTTCTTATCACCTAGTGACGAGAAGCATGGAGACGGCTTCCCTGCTAACGAGGAAGACAGGTGGTGAGTCATTACATGCCACCTGACTTCCTGAATGGGACTCCCAGTATCGGTATTTGGTATCGGCGAGTACCGAAATATAAATATCGGTACTCATACTCGATACCGAAATACTGGTATCGGTGCATCCCTAATAACAATATATAACAATGTGTAACATCATATAAGAATGTATGAGAATGTATGAGATCATATAACAATGTATTACATCATCGTAGGAAGTAAATACATTTTAGTAGCAAGAGATACAATGTTACAATTTCAGAGGACGTTGGAGGGAATGAGCAGATAAATGTATTCATTGCTACTACGGGGATCCCTGAAGAAACAATGGTTACATTTAGCTGACAATTCCCAATTCACAACTGTCTATAATAACTGAAGAACATTCGACCAGAAGAACATTCGATGTTACTTCATTCCCACAACAGCTGGATCATTCACACAGAACAAATGTGAAAGTTTCGCTCGACAAATATTTTTGTGTTTATAGACCCGTTAGTGTTTCGGAACAAGGCAAAATTCTTTATAAATTCAATTCCTTTGTTGAACTTCTTTCAGGCTTCAGGTTTTGGTTCCATCTTTACGTTACCCTTAACAGTCACATATAATTGTACACGTATGGAATCACATAATCACTCAACGTTCAGCTAACATATCGCCTATGGGGGGCGGGGCAGTGCCAAGATTTACCAGCTGATTAACGTTTTATCATTATTCTGTTTTCCTCTTCTATGCACCTCTGGACAATTGTGGCTAAATGATTCCAAATCACTGTTGGGGGTTGTGGCTTCAGGGAATGGAGGGAGGAGTCACAAGGATCTTTATAGTTCAGTAAACATGAAACCATCTCTTCTTTCTCTTTATGGCGGTCTGTGCAATTGAAAATCGTCTCTGCACACAGAGCAGACCTCATGCTGATTCCAAAAGCACATTTTTTTCATTGCCTTTCGCTAAAATAATCACGTGACACAAGGGGCGGAGCTTGTACAAAAGAGTGTTGTCATTCCGGCATGATGATGTCTAAAAAGGGCTCGGCTGTTGGCAGTTTGCCGATAACGGGATCCTTTGTTAGACGAATTTGCATTGCTTTTGATGACTTATTGATTGCATGTATGTATACACTGAGTGGCCAGATTATTATATACACTGAGTGGCCAGATT